CTATTATGAACCTGTAAAGGACAATACTTTACAAAATTCTATCATTCTTCAATAAAAAAGAGGAGAAAAAACATTTTCAAACATGACAGTCTCAAATGAGGAAGGTCTTTGAAGCAAGTTGCCTATTCTACCTCTATTGAAGAGAAAGAATAAGTTAGACCAAAATGATGAAGCACTCTTGAAATCAAGTGGTCTGAGAAGCCAGAAAGTTTGGAGAATTGAACTTATGATGCTCTCCTATGACATTATCCGCAACTTATCAAGAATGATTACCTTGTTCTAAAGGGAGATACTGAAAAACGTCACTTTAGCAGCCATTGCAAGAAAAGGTTGTTACATGGAATGTCACCGACAACAAGGTCGAATTTGACAAATCTACTCATCAGTTGCTCCAACCAAACATCATTCAGTTCTTGCACATCTGTTTTCAAAGATATGCCAAGACAGTAGAAGGCAACCTCTGCTCTGATACCAAAAAAAAAAGAGACAGGACATTGATATCATCGGAGAACATGTCTAGCAGCTCCTCAAGTATGGTTTTTAGGGAAACCTAGAAGCATTTCCACCTCATCAGGTTCAAGTGGAGTAACTTTATTCCTTCTAACCCATACCAAATTCCATTTTCAGCACTCATCAAGAACATACTTCTGGACACTCGAAGGTGGCTCATCGTTATAAGCTTTAAGAGCCTTACAGATCCTTTCTGTCAATTTGGCACTTCCTGTACATGTTTGTAAACAGTTCAACTTTGTTCTTGGATCCCAGGAAGGCCATCATTTCTTTGTCAATGGAAAAATATCATGTATAGTGCGTGGAGAAAACAAGATCAGAGGAAATCTGTTCTCAATTGGCAGATTATGAATATAGCCCTTTTCAGTGTAGCAGATTAAAAATGCTTCGAATCTATAAATTCTGGCTCTACTTCGAATAAGTACTGTGATATTCCAGTCCAAACATTAACTGAAGCAAGTGTCACGTTCTCATAGTAGAAATAAGGAGACCCAACAACATCTTTTGGAAGTGTTCTTTGAGTTATCTGATCTGATTTGGTAGGAACCCCAGAACCAATCATTGGAATTGAAAGATGAACTGCATGATCGTCTTCATTAAGAAGCTTCTTTTCAGGCTTCCTCTGCTTCTTCCTTTTAAAAAATCATAGCACAAGTTTCGCCTTTGCTTGTAATTGGGATCATTGCATAATGGCTTCCTATCTTCTACATAAGAAGTGGGTCAGTAGCCTTAGCCATTTGATCAGCACATATAAAATCTATCAACTTTCCAATTGATGAATCCGGACCACATCTCTCCATGGCTATTGAAGCTTCAGCCTCTGAGAATCCCATTTTTGTCAAGTATAACAGTTTACTCTCCTCATTAGAATCATAATTCAGGATTCCTCGATATCAGAAGAACTATCAATATCTGTGAAATCATCCTGAAAGATCGCTTCATAATCAGATGAGTTGTTATCAGAATCAACATGTTGTATGGATGCAGATTTTTCAAAAGCATGTACCACTGTATATGTAGTCTTGCTATTGCATCAGATTACTGTTCACATAAATTGGTTTCTCGACCTCAGAAAAGTATATTCCAGAAATAGCCTTCACTGAAAACAAGGTTCACTATGTCAGCCTGAAACGGATTACCAAGCTATTTATACTACTCTGTCCGATTAAGATCTCTCCAGATTCAAAAATGGGCACCTCATTTATAAGAGGCACATATCTCAGACGTTTCTGTCAGAGTGATTGAGCACTTCTTAAGTTTGTGACAACATGAAGAAATTCCTCCAGTTACTTGACAACACTGCTGTTCAGTGACACTAGAATGAGAGTATTTAAGATAAACAGATTTGGGGCATGAAGAAAGCTACAAGCACCACAGTGCATTGTCAAAATTGGATCTCATGAGGATCATGATATTCCAGTTAAACATACATTGAGAGTTGAATCAGAAGCAGAATATTGGGGCATCTCGAAAGCTCACTTCAGACATATCCATGTGGGGTATTTTGAAGGCTCAGATTAACAAGAAGCAAATGTTGGGGCATGCTGAAAACCCTTTTCAATCCGAATCAGAAATGTTGAAATATTCTGAATATTTATCAGCAAAATGCTGGGGCATGCTGAAAGCCCATTTCAATCAGAATCATGAATGTTGATGTATCCTGAATATTTATATCAGCAAAATGCTGGGACATGCTGAAGGCCCATATCATCATGTGTTAAAAATCATTGATTTGAGAAAATATTTCCAATGAGACAGAAAGATATGAAGAATGAAAATGATAAAACAGTGACAGTCGAGCTGACTATATTGCTTCGTTCATCAGGAAGTTGCATTAGGGTCCTGTTGTTGAACAAATATCTACTCAGCAAGTATGGTTTCAAATACCCAATCTTCTTAAACCATGTATCACATGAAAATGTGTTATTTGATAAACTACATCATGATTGCATGAATAAAGATGATCCCCAGGTAGACTACTCGATCCAGGGTTCAGTTCCTCAAGATCTCAGCTTTGAATTTTGTATTATGTGTGTCGGTGATGATTGGAAATATTTCTTTGAGATTCCTGGCAGTTAGTTTCAACCATACTGTTGGGATTACAAAGCTTTTTTTCACAATAGTTTTCGCTTAATTGATGACATTGAAAAGGGATACTCGACTCTCACTTATATTACTGTTATTCCCGTTGTTATTGGGATCATCATTGCTAGCCAAGATGAACTGAGTTTCCATCTATTTTGGGTTTTATCATGTGCGTTTCATCCCCAGCAGCAAGAAATCCACGGATATCTTTCTATACATTGATCCTATAGCTGAAGTTTTTCTACTTTCTACAATGCTCATTATGAAAACATGATCAATATCACACTTGCCCTTGCCCGAGATGATATCTAGATCAGTTGGTATCTTTTATTCAACTCGACACTAGCATATATCTTGAATTTGACCAACTTTTTGGTCATACCAAAATCTCACTTGTATCCCCACTGAGTTTTGTTGTTCTCAAGTGATCTTGTGATATCATACAAAAACTTTGAACACTAGGCAAAGAGCTTCAATAATTGAGAAATCTGAGCAGAAGCCAAGAAAAGGATGAATGTTTGTCAAATGTTTCCTTGACCAACAATCCGAGCAGAAACCACAGGAAAAGATGAATGTATTGTCAAATGTTTTACGAACCAGTGATTATGGTGCTGAACCAATGTTGCAATCATATGGTTTCCATTTATTGATCCAAGATGAAGTTTGTCTTCTTTAACCCCAAGATTAGAAGTGAGATATAATGAAGATTTCTTTCCACAGAAGGAGAGCTGAAATTTTAAACAAGAAACTAATGGGGTCAACTAAGGTTGAACTACAAGTTGTTGTTAAGCATCTCGACATGATATGGTCCAAGTTGCCTTATTCGAGATCTGATTATATGTGGAGACATGAAAGGAATTGGAATAAATCTTCCTTGTGATGTGTTTCAAGAGTTAAATTAGAACATACTCTACTCTTCTAATTAATCCCCGTTGAGTCAGACATATCTACATTTACACTCTTCAAAAATGATAAATTCTCTTTTCAAAGATGATAGATTCTCTTTTTAAAGATGATATATTCTCTTTTCAAAGATGAAAGCTTTATTGGATTTCTACACAAGTCCAGACAAAGAAAGCCGGTGTTACCAAAGACAAAATGGGTATCAGGGTCATAATTTTGACTACGACAAGAGTTCCATAAATGAAACATTTCTTCTAAGACTTAAATGAAGCAAAGAAGGCACCACGATACAAGTTGATTAGATGAATCTGCAGAAATGCAAGCTTGATAGCATAAGTTTCTACACTGATATCTAGAGGTAACCCTGGCAATAAATGATGAAGTGAAGGAAGACCAAGTTCACCACTTTGAAGCCAAATGAAGATTGCATCAACATTCATGCATTCATAATAACATCATTTGCACAATAGACAATGCATTACATTGATACATCTGAGTGCATTCAAACATGAAGTTTTACAGATCTTCGGAAGAACAAGAAGATTCATGGTAAGAAATACCTTACAAGAAGAAGGTATTCAAAACCGTAAATACAGGAATCACGCAAACATCTGAAGAATAGATGGATGTAATCCACAAAAATAAGCATTATCTTGAGATTGGGGCATGTTACCCAATCAACATGTTATTTCAAAAATATATATAATGAAAACGATTTCCATAGTTTCTCATTTTATCTTTTTAAAATGAAATTATTGAAAAGTAAGAAAAACGATTTTCATAGTTTCTTACTTAGTAAACTATTTCCTACATCTGTAAGTCCTGCAGTGCATGATTTTCCAAAAAGCCTTCGGGAGCTTTTTGATGTTTTCAAAGCCTTAGGGCCATCTGTAAGTCCTGCAGTGCATAATGTTTCCAAAAAGCCTTTGGGAGCTTTTTGATGTTTTCAAAGCCTTAGGGTCATCTGTAAGTCCTGCAGTGCATGATGTTTCCAAAAAGCCTTCGGAAGCTTTTTGATGTTTTCAAAGCCTTAGGGTCATCTATAAGTCCTATAGTGCATGATGTTTCCAAAAAGCCTTCGGGAGCTTTTTGATGTTTTCAAAGCCTTAAGGTCATCTGTAAGTCCTACAGTGCATGGTGTTTCCAAAAAGCCTTCGGGAGCTTTTTGATGTTTTCAAAACCTTCGGGTCATCTGTAAGTCCTTCAGTGCATGATGTTTTTAAAACCTTCGGGTCATCTGTAAGCCCTTCAGTGCATGATGTTTTCAAACATTTCCATCATGCTCAAAAGAAGCCAAATGAAAAAATTATTGTCTTTTCGTCTTTGCTCTATTCTTGTTAACACAAGGATGAGCAAAGAGGGACAGCTATACATCAATTTTTTCATTTTAAATTTAAATTTATTATTATTATTATTATTATTATTATTATTATTAATATTATTTATTATTTATTAAATATTACAAAGCCCAAATCACAACCCAATTACATTCAAAGCCCAGACCCAAATAGAAACCCTAAACTGATTTGGGGTTTCAGCTAGGGTTTCTAAACCTAACACTAATGTCGCCGCTCAAGTTTCCAGAAGCTGCTGCCACGCCTCCACTGCCAAGTGACCCAACCAACAGCTGCCAACGCCACTACCGACGCTCCACCAGTGCCACGCCTCCGACGAAGACTCCAGAAGACTCAGAACAGCCGCACACGTTGAAGTCTAGAGTGAGTCACAACTATAGTTTGGTGACTCACTGAACTTTGCCCTATTATCCGGTCCGAAGAAGACATGTGGTGGCTATAAAAGCCACCACCGAACCTGCAAAAAAAGAGGGAGAGCAGACACAGTGTAAGAGTAACAGAAAAGAGAAAGAGGAGAAAAAAAAAGCAAGAACAAGAACAGAAAACAGAGAGAGACCAACAACCACGGAACAACCAAACAGAGAGCAGAATACGAGAACAAATCAACACCCAATAACCAGAAAGAAGAGAAAAGGAGCATCTTACCATCATAAAAGCCTCTAAACCGTTTGGAACCACCAGAATCATTGTAAAACCGAAGGTAAAACCTTCGATTTATTTTAGATCTAGAACGATCTAAAGCGTTTTAGGACAAGCGAAGGCCATATTCGGCCTTAGGAGGTCGAGATCTACACTCTAGGGTAATTTGGGAATTCTGGCCACCGTTAGTGGCGGCCGATAGTGGTGATCGGCGCCGTTGGTGGTGGCCGGCCGGTGACAGAATCTAGAGAGAGGCGAGAGAGTTTTTCTTCTCTCTCAACTAGAGAGAGAAGATGAAAGATGAAAATGAGAAGCTGGCCCTTAAGGGCAGGCCTTTTGGGGATTTTAAACCCCTCCCCAAACGACATCGTTTTGGGGGAGGGGTATATTTGTAATTTCTCGTGTGGGTAAACTATACCCGCTGCCACCACAGTTTTGTAGCTTTTCATTTTAGTCACTGAAATCAAATCTTGAACCTTTTAATTCGGTCTTTCGATTTTATTTAGTTTATAATTTAGTCCTAGCCTGTATAGTTATATATATTTAGGATAAATACCGTATTTAGTCCTTATAACTTTAATAACTTTTATTTTGACCTCTAATTAATTAATTAAGGATTAATTACATTAATAACACCTAATTTTCGTAATATTTCAAACTAGAGCTTTTAATCTTGATATGTCATAATTTAGTCACCAATTTTAATTATAAGTTTTATTACTTTTTATATTTAATTTTAATTTTATTTATTTTACTCATTGTTTATTTATATTTTAATTTTATATGTTTAAATTATTATTTTCATAATTATTTTATTATTATTATCTTATTCATATAAATATATACCTATATTCTTTTAAATAATAATGTTTATTTATTTTCAATATCAAAGAAAATGGCAGTCTTAAAACAACTGGATGTCATATTCTGGTATTTTAAATAATTAAACATTATAAAAATTATAATTTAGTTTTATTTAAATTATTTAAATTTTAATATTTATTTTTATTTATTAATATCGAAGAAAAGAGCTGTCTTAAGGTACCTATAAGCCATTTTCTGATATTTTTGAATAAATAAAATATCTTACTATATTAAAATAAATTTTTATTATCTTAAGAAAATGTTTTAGTCATTTATTTATTTTTTTAATATCGAAGAAAAGAGCTGTCTTAAGGCGCGTAGAATTCATTTTCTGATATTTCTAAATAAATAAATATTTTTATAAATATATTTAAATTAATATATTTTCTTAAAATTATAGTAATAAATTTTGAAATAATAAGATTATAAATTAAATATATTTTAAATTTTTAAATTTCTAATAATAGAGATAATTTATAATTAAAAAGTATTAATTTTGGACGTTGTAGGGGTGCTAATCCTTCCTTAAACGTAACCGACCACGAATCCCTTTTTATTATTAAAAAGAACGATTTTTTGGTTAAAACGCAGATCATTTATCTTTTAATCGATTTTCTTAAAAACTCTTTTAAATGATGATTTTTAGGTATTCGACCTACCTGACCCAAAAAATCGATGGCGACTCCCAAATTATTTTAAAAAAATCCATTTATTCACATCACTTTTCCAGCTAAATAAAAAATTTGTGCCCGGAGACACTTACTATGATAAAAAGAATATCTTGTTATGCGAAAAAGGTATTGTAATCACCATTTTTGTCCTGCCAGCACAACAACACTATCCCCAAGCGATTCTGCACACCAACTGATGCAGCACCCATGCCCCGTGCCAATGCTGCTGCTGCTGCCACCAACTCAACTGTAGCACCAAATCCAAAACTCCATGCCAACGCCATCAGCATCAGCAACAAACATCAAATTTTTTCTTTATTTTACACATATAAGGGGTTATAAAGAACCCCAAATCAGATTGTAGGGAGGTCTCTTCTCCCAAATTTTCAAAATCAATACAGCAACAAAAATATTCCAAAGGTATTTATTTTTTAGCAACTTTTTTTTGATTCGAATAGAAATAAAAGGAAGAGGATTAGTCATTTTTTACCTTACTTTATGTGGGTTTTCACCGAAGTTTGAAGTCAGTCCGTCGTCGGAGTTAGGCGTCGCCGTGAGTCGAGATAGCCGAGAGGTCTTATCCTTTGGTCGTTTAGGCCTTGCATGTCGGTTTTTGGGGGTTGTTTGTGGGGTTTTAGATCAAAAAAGAGGAAGGCTTTCTTTTTATTTTGTGGTAGACCCGACCACCTTGGACGGTGGTTGAGTGGCGGATCTCGAAGCTATTGGGTTTCCCAGCCGCGTGAGAAAGAGATGAAGAGGGGAGAGCCAAAAAAATATATGCGGCAGTGGGTTGTGTTTTAGGTTAAAGTTTACCTAAAAATAGCAAAATTTTATCATATATACTAAACCTTTTGGGTAAATTGCTTTTAAGTCTACCTAACTTTGCCTTGATTTTACACTTTGGTCACTAGTTCATTCCTTTTCATATTATTTTTAATCTGATATTGATTTTATATTTTTATCTAATCACTCTTTGTAAACTATAATTTATGGTTTAAATCAATTTAATCCCCTTTACCTGGCCTGTGAACTTCCATTTTATTTGTTTTAGAATTAATGCCTCTGGTTTATATTTTATTTCAATTTAGTACATTTTTATTTACTTTTGTTTACATTTACGCCTTGCTTTTTATTTTATTTTTTGTTTATTTTCATCCATAAACTTATTGTTTATTTATTTTTCGTTTATTTGCACGTTTGTCCTTTATTTTTCAAGTTTATATTCTAAGCATTTATTATGTTTATTTATTTTGTTTGTTATTTACCATTTATACCCTTTAAACTTTTTATTATTCACACTTTAACTTCTGCCTTATTACCTCTTATCTCTGTCTTTATTGTTATTTTGGTATGGTAATTCATTTCCCATTGCTATTTATTTTTGGGATTCGTTATATTTTCCTTCATTTGTTTACTTAATATTTGGATATTTATTACATTTAAAGTCCATGCGTAATAGTATGATAATACTTATTTATTTAGTATATAAGTATATGTTATTTATATAGCACGAATGTGTTTATATTAAATACTATAACTTTAATTTCATTTCCAATTTTATTTTGGTTCCTTTTTATTTTTGTATATTCGATGAATTGATTCACTTTCCATACATCTTAAAATAATGAAGGCATCTTTTAAAGTTCCCCTAAGATTTTGGTCACATTTTACCATTTTTCGTTAAGTAATTTCATTTGATTGCTAGTTTAATCTTACCTTAATTCATGCATCATTTCCATTTTGCAACTTGCGTATTGCATTTAGTTTTAGTCAATATATTGCTATTTTATTCCTTTCATTTAACTTTTTTATATATATATGCACTATTATGTTTATTAAATGTGCCTTATATCATTACATATATGTAAATACATTATATGCCTTATATGCATTTATATCTATGTTCAGTATAGTTTAATTATTACATTATATATGTATGTTTATATTAGGCGATAATAATAGTCGTATGACATGTATACTATATTTTATATATGTATAAATTATGTACATGTTGTATACTATATATCTCATACTTACTGTTTTGTTTCTATTTAATCCTCACATAATTTGGTCTCTATTACTTTTTATCTTTACCACGTAAGTACGTTTATGTATGCTTATTATTATTCTTATTACTATTATTTGGTCTTTGTTGTTTGTATATGTTATATCATATTATTCATATATATGTGTATATATTTACATAATATACCTTGACCCTTGTAAATTTATATATATATATATATATATATATATATTACTAATTTTTATTCTATTTTGTTTGATCTTATTTATTTATTTTATTTTATAAAATGCCCAGTTGTTAATATTTTTATATCCCTTGTACTTGATGTTAATATTTTTTTTAAATATTTTATTCAAATTTATCAAGAACATTCTATAGTAAATGGGCGTGAAAAGCACAATTTTAATGGAAGTCGTGCTATTCAAGAAGACATTCGAACGATAGGTGAACTTGAAACATATAAAATTTAATTTTCTAATAATAATTAATTCATTCTTTTATTTTAGTTTAGTGGTAATGTATGTTTCTTAAAATGGTATGTTAGGTTATTTCATGAAATTATCGATGTTCAATTTATATTCGATTGATGATTTTCTTGAAAATATTGAGCAGGTGACATTTCTTGTATATAGGATAAATAGATAAGATATCCTTCCGGACTTGCAAATCCTCAAATTAAGGAATGTTCCTTAATAATTAATTAAATTTAAATTAATTAGTGTTGAACAAAAGGATCACACTTTAAATATTGATTCAAATTTTCTAATTTCCACCACGACAACATACAAGCGATTAAGTATCAATTTTGGGCATTGTGAGGTGCTAACATTTCCCTACGTGTAATCGACTTTTGATAATGCAGATCAATTTTTGTCTTTAAAACATTTTTCTTAAAATTATTTTAAATGATGTTTTTAGGTATTTGACCTACCTAGTCTAAAGGTTGATGATGACTCTTAAATCAATTTAATCAAAATAAACACAAAAAATAAATTTTCCCCAAATAAGTCATAATTTAGGATTTTTATCGAAAACTTATTTGTTCGTAAAAAATAGACGTTACGACAGGTATATCTCTCCCAACAATGATAAGACTTATTATACGTTAAAGGACCTATTCTAATCGCGAAAATGCAAAGAAAATATTATTAGAATATTTATTCACGGGATATAATATTATTTCTTAGAATAATATTATATAAAAGTATGATTACATAATAAAATTATAGTGAATGTTATATGACCATATTTGATTCACTTGGCAGAAATGTAAAATCATGGTGTTTAGTTGAAGACAAGTAATCTTTAATTATATTCAATGCTTTTAATTAGTTCATATCTTATTACTTCTTTTAAAAAATTATAAAAGAACCAACAATCAGTTGGTCTAGTGGGACGAGACACTAAATTTTTTAAGTAAGATCAAATGTTTAAATCTTGATGTTTGCGAATAGAGTAAACTGAGTTAGGAGGTCGTCCTTTCCTATGCAGTATCCGATCTGAATTAGTCGGTCTATTAATTAAAAAAAGTTATAAAAGACAAATTGAATTTATTAAAATAATAAAAGTAAAGGGTAAATTGATCCAAAAATTAAACACGAGATTATATCATATATCATATCATACCCTACCCGTAATGTGAGATTATTGTTTGTCTATAATGTTCGTGAATTGAACACTATAATATTATATTAAGATCTAAAATTATATCATATAATCTTATAGATAACACCAACTCAACGATGTTGAGAGTTTTGAAGGCAACACCATGCCTGGAAATGAGCCCTTGCGGAGAGCGAATGGCAAACGCTATGTCCCCCACTGATTCTTCTTTGCGGCCAACCACAAGATGATGAGCATCTTGACAATGACCAACTAGGAATCTTCTTTGTCACCCTTTAAGACACCTTTCGCTTTTAGATTCCATTGCCTTCTTCTCAAACAAACATCGAACGATTGAGCTTTGGATGCTGATCAACTTGCCCTTTAATTGGACAATGTTTAGGCAAGGCATTTGATGGAGTTGGGAATGTCCCATTTAAGGGGTCCCCGTCTTTCAACTTGAAGAGAATGGTAATGGAGACGTTGTCACTCCCATGAAAGTGGATGCTAAAAGTGGACCAAGTGGGAAACCAATTACCACTGAAAAAGATGTAAAAAACTAAGCAAAAGAGTCAAAAGATGATTTGATTACAATATTGGAAGCTACCGCACTGCCACCATTTGTATAAATTTATTTAGCACCTTTATATAATAGATATTGATTCATGTTTATCTTTGCAATGTAATTGAAATCGTTTTGTTTCTTCGTCTGTCCCTTTGGTTTTTGGATTTGGGCTCTTATTTCTATCAATTGCCTGAATAAATATAAAAGAAGTTAACATTTTGAATTTAAAATTGAAAATACTACTAAAAAATTCTATATTTTTTCTTGCTAATTATTGTATTCTTTGTTGATTGGAACCAATCTCTTTGAGTTGCTCGGTTAAAATTATTCTCATCACCTAACTTACATGGATATCACTAGGAGCATGAACTTAAAAATAAGTATGTATTTCAATGGATCAAATCACTCTTTTTTTCGTTTGGAAAACCTCATCTTCTTAATTATTCCTCATGAGTAGATTTGTTTTAGATTGATTCTGTATAAATTGAATTTTCCACTTTAACTCCTATAATCAAAGAGTTGGTGAGATTTCTTCTAGTATATCACAAAAAAATTAAATCTTTTGAGTCAAAATTATGTGTAACACCCCGAAAACTAAGTTAATAGTTTGAGTTAATCAGAGATCCATTTTAGAGCCCAAAAAGATTTATTGAAATAGTTTGGACCAAGTTTATTTGGATTTGGGCTGAGTTGGGCCCAAAATAATTTTGAAAGGTGATGATAATTTTATGATTTGGAAAGTATACGGACTTAGAGTGTAGTTTACCCATTCTTTATTTTGAAAGATGAACCCCCTTATTTTTATATGGTTTATGTGAACCAACCTCATAATATCTTACCAAACTCCTCTGCTTCTTTCTTCCATTTTCTTCTCTTCCACTTTCTTTCCAAAGAAAGATTTCAAGCAATACAAATCTAGTTTGATTCAACTAGGATAAGATTGTTTATCCTCATTCTTCTGGCTTTAATTTAATCTCCACATTGTAAGTTTTAGCCTTGGAAACCAAAAATGGGGTTTTGTGGGGTTTATCAGAATATAAGGATTCAAACTCTTTTTGGGTAGATTTGATTTATAGGAGTATATTTATATTTTTTCGAACATTTAATTGAGTTAATGAATTATTCCCTATCTTGTTGATTCCAAAGCAAAAGGAAAAGACAAAGTTACTCCTAGTTGACTTGGGAAATGTTTAGCATAAAAGAACTCAAGGTAACCACACTTGCAACTCTTCCATACTCTTTAGCAGGTCATTTGCAATTCATGATAGCATAAAAGCTTAGATTAAAGCTTAGTGATCATAGCAATGATAGATTTCATGTTTTGAAGTATAAGCTTGTCTAAAGCCTTATTTATGATCCTACATGATTACATAAGACACTAAGAACATTTGGAAACCTCTAAGTAGCAATGTGAGTGAGTTTAAGTGCCCAAATAAGGCATTTTTGAGGGAGGGTATCAATACTGGAGGGATCAGTACCGATACTATTCATGTTCAGGCTTAAAATTAGAAATGTTATCAGTGCAATATTGATGGCGTGTAAATATATAGTGTTGTGGTACATAAATCTGTGCAAGTATACATAATCGATACAAGTAATAC